CTTCAAAGTGTACTTACAAAAATGATTAGAAACTGAAAGTGTTGTTACAAGATTACGAAGACAAGAACTATTTATAGTAGGAAATTATAATACAAAATTACAATGAAGAAACTAAGATTGAATACAATACTATTTATAGTCATTCAAGCAGATTTTACACTTAGATTGAGAAACAGTTGAGCTTTCAGTACTTGATTCAGAAAATTCTTTTATTTTCTTTAATAATTGATCTCTCTTCAGTAACTAAATCATATTACTTTTTAAGTTCAGATCTCATATTTATCTCAGTTACAAGGTCTGTCTTTAAATCAAACAATTTCTTTGAAGTTTCAGAGAACTTACTTTCTAAAACAGCTCTTTTCTTCTCAAAGTCTTTTCTTTTGTTTCCTTTTCTATTTCTTTCTTTTCTTCCTTAAAACAACCTTTATCATTGTCTGAAGCAATATCCAACCATTTCTTTTTCTCAACAAGTTCTTTGGCAATTGCTGCATTCCTTTTAGCAATATTCTTCTTCTCCAATGCAAAATCTTTTCTCTCTTCCTCTAAAGCTTTCTGCTTTGCAACAATGCTTTTGGATATTTCCAGACATTTCTTTTCTGATTCTTTCTAGTAATCTTTCTTCTCATTATCAAACTTGGCTCTTGACAGTTTTGCATTGTTCAGCTCAAGTACTTTGATTTTACTGTCGAGAATCTTCTTTTCATCACAAAAAATCTTTTCAGCTTCAGCAAACCTTTGCTTTTCCTTTTCAAACTTATTTTTATCAGAATTCACACTTTCAATAATCCTCTCCTTTTCTTTCTCAAATAATCTTCTTTCAGAAGTCGATTCAATCTCAGCTTCATAAACTCTCTTTGCCAGCTCATTATTTTCTTTAATCTGCGTCACATTCTTTTCCTGTAAATCAAAAGAAAAACCTTTACACATGAATTCATCAATATGTTCTTGTAAGAATTTCTTTTCTTCATAAACCCTTTCATTATCTCTTAATAAATCTTTAGCCCATGAAAGATTTGAATGATTTTCGTAAAACATTTTAAGATATTTGTCTGGTACCAATTGTTAATCCCAGTTTGATTAACTAATCTTCATGTAAGACGATGAAGATGAAGTAGTGCAGAAAAATTCAAATTACATACCGAAATTCTCAAAACAAGATCAAA